CATAAACATATCGTTCAGACCATGGAAGTGCTTTTATCCTAGTGCAAATGGGTTAATCCCATCATGGGTTAGTGCAGTGGTAAAAATATTGGGCCTAGAGTGGTCTGGTTTAGATCCTTGTTCAGGCAGAATGTTTGGGCCAGCTGCATAATTTTAACCTCAGGATTTTGTGAGTATGAATGAGAGTGACCACATTACTACATTCTGAGCTGTTTGGAGAACAACCAGAATAAAGACAAAATAAATCAATCATAGGAATCTGTAGAATTTAAGCAACATGGTGCCAGATTTCATCTGTCCTATTTTCGGCAATACCTGTAGCTGTTTGTAAAAGTGCATTGTCTACAACAATTTTCTTTTTTTGGGGTGTGGGGCATAAGATCCATTTATCATTCCTGTTACGTTCTAAGAACTTCAAAAGATGGAATGAAGACAGGCAAGGTGAAAGGAATGTTGCTTTGCTGGAGCTGTCTCTGTAGGATGATGTTAGGCAGTGGTTCTATTTTCGGCAATACCCGTAGCTGTTTGTAAAAGTGCATTGTCTACAACAATTTTCTTTTTTTGGGGTGTGGGGCATAAGATCCATTTATCATTCCTGTTACGTTCTAAGAACTTCAAAAGATGGAATGAAGACAGGCAAGGTGAAAGGAATGTTGCTTTGCTGGAGCTGTCTCTGTAGGATGATGTTAGGCAGTGGCGGGGGTAGGGGTAGGGTGGGAGAGCCATTGGGGTGCCGTTTTTCTTGATTGCAGTGGAAGATAGCATGCAGTTTTCAGCTGAGCCCCCCACCCCCACCCCCAGTCTCATTTTACCCAGGTTCCTATTGCACTCTCTTGTAAGGTTGTCTTTTTCTAGCAGGTCATGAAAAAGAACAGAGCCGAAACCAAAAAAATAGGACCTTTGAAGTTAGCTGCTCTCAATGGACTGACATTATCTCGGCAGCCGCTGCCAGATGAGGGGAAGGAGGAACCTGCCAGAGCTACAAATGATGAACGGGTTGGTTTGATGTTTTCCTTTTGCTTGTATGTTCAAAGTTTATATATTCAGTTTCATGGTTGCATCATTTAGGCCACCCTCACCGAAGACATTATGGAAGTAAAGGCATCATTCATTAGTTACCTGTTAGTCTTGTAAGGAGAGGGTTTTTTTCACCCAATTGCTGCTGTTTTAGTGTATCTTTTTTTCTTGTTGGTAGTACAGATCTGTTTTTGATATTGTATATAACCTACATTTATCTTGTATCAAAAAAAAAATTCTAGGAAGTACGTAACATAGCATATATCTAAGCAATTATCACATGTGACTCTGAATGCACTAAACTTGTTTAATTTTGAAAAGTAAGTTGGTTTTGGCCTAATTAGTACTTCTATGGGAGAAGCCCTCCCGGGGTCTCCAGGGAGGACTGGAAACAATGTTCCCTCTAGCTGCGTGGGTGCGCAACACTGTGTTGGTGTTGTGCACCCACAGTTATTGTTGCCACTCACTTGATTCTGGTTGTGGGCGAAACTTTGTGCATGTGGGGTGGAGTTTCTGCTCACGAATGTTGACTGGAAGATTCCTGTTTGAAGCCCTGGATAGCTGCTACCTCTAGCTAGTGGGACCAGTGGTTTGTCTCATTATGAGGCAGCTTTCTATGATTCCATCACACCCAATTACACAGTATTAATATCTTTTTACACTGGAATCCCATTTCTTATCTGCTCTGTCTTCAGAATTAGAGTTAGTGAGCACTAAGAAGCATGCAGAACATTTTCCATGATGGATTTCTGACTATGAGATAGTCTTCCCATCTTCTCTGGCCAGGTACCTAGGCAGCATTTAGAAGTTAGCTAAAAATTCCTGGGGTATATCCAGTTTCATGCAATTATACTTCATTGGCACAGTTTGATTTCTTCTCCCTTAGTCCACTTTGGGCCATCTGCTTTATATGGCCCACCTGAACAGATCTGAAAAACACATTATAGGCTGCTGGGAAGAAGGAAGATTGGTTCCACTATTGATGACTGTTGGATGCCACTGCTTGCTTTTATTTGCTTGTTTGTCTGTCTGTCTGTTTGTTTATTTAT